AGAAAGTTGATGAGGCAAAAGCTTTAGCTGTCAAGGAACGAGAAGCTGCAAAGAAAGTTATTGATGAAGCACCTCCAACTGTCCAGGAAACCCCAGTCTATGTTGAAGATACTAAAAAAGTAGAATCTTTAACAGAAGAAGTTAAAAGTTTAAAGGTAAAGAGGCTGAATGATTATTTCATATGTTGTATTAACTTTGAAACACAACTTTGACAACTTGCTAAACAATTTGGTATGATAATGAGGAATCTTTATGAACACTTTGTATGCTCAGGTTTTGGATTTTAGGTGAATGACAATGGCCTCTAGATGCTTCAGAGGAGACATTTAAGTTTCAAATTTGCAGTTTTGGAATCCAATGTCTATGTTATAGATTTGTCACCTTGTTTGCATTTACAATTGTGCCTGGTCACCCTCAACTAACGCCTATCATCGATGCAGTGAACAAGGCTTAGCACAAGCATTTACCGAAAAGGGTGATCAAACATTAAAACCAAATATTAACAAATAGTGATGTAGAACACAAAGCCAACTGCTCTAATCAAATCAAAATTTGTTTTTGACAGTAAAATAAGTGAATAGTTTTATTACTGTCAAATCCAAAACCAGTGGAAATTTGAATGGTTTACATGCATTTTAGCTTTAGGTTAGTGTAAACTTCATCCATGCAGCTCTGAGATATTGAAATTAGGAAGCATGCACATGTATCCTGGTGCTCAGAAAATGTGAATTCTTTAATTACCATTTGATCTTCAGCAATATATTTTCTTTCTTTTAGAATCCCAGTGTACCTTCTGAATTAAATGGATATGTTAGTTAATATTTCATCTTTTATTTAGGCTTCTTTAGAGAATGAAAAGCAGGAGTCTGATGACTTGCGGAGAAAATATGATGAGGCGCAAGAATCTACTGAAGAATACCGTACAAAATTAGAAGAAACAGAAAAGAAAAATACTCAACTCCAGGAATCTGTGCAAAGGTACTCTGGTGTTCAGTATCTATTTTTCCAGCTTATAGAATCACTGTTTCTCTATTGATTGTATCTGCATCACTTTAATAGCCAAGAAGAGTGTGCAGCTGTCTTGATACGAATTACACCAAGGAATTTCATCACACTCGTCCCTCATCAAATGTACCCTCCCAAAAAAATAAATAAAAATAAATCTTGCGTTATAGTGCAGTTCAGAGTTGACCATCAAAAGAGCTTCTTCTGTGGGGGAAACATTTATAATGATATTCAGTATGAAACTTTTGGAACTTCTAAATAATAAGTTGTAGTCCTTTTCATGACATACTTGGTGCAATCGCCAGAACAATAGTCATGTATATTTTTGTTCAAAAGAAAATCTTTCTTTTGATGCTTGGTGAAATAGATAAGTGCTGTTAGTGGTAGAACAAAATTAAAGATGATGCGGCAATGGGTTTGTATCTCTATCCACACTGAAAGCTTGATTTGGTTTGCATTTTGTTGCATCCTATAAATTATAATTGAAGTCTTTATGTGCAATCAGGTTAGAAGAGAAATTAACAAATATGGAGTCGGAGAATAAAGTTCTTCGTCAGCAAGCAGTTTCAATGACACCCAATAAGTTCCTCTCTGGTCGCTCTAGATCATTTCTCCAGGTATTTCTTTTGCACAAGTAGAGCTTCTTTTGATGTAAATTGCGACTTGTTATGAAAAGTTTTCTTTTATCTTCGATAGAGAAGCGGTGAAGGCAGTCACAGTTTTGGGGAAACAAGAATGCACGTGGTAATTGGTCCTCTATATTTTCGACTTTGGTTGTTTAAGCCTGATTGTATTCACGAATCCTTTGGTTCTTGTGCTCTCAATTGCATCAGGATTTGCATAGCCCATCGATGAACCAAAGAGATTTTTCTGAAGTAGAGGACAAACCACAAAAATCACTAAACGATCAACAGCAAGAGAATCAGGATCTGCTTGTTCGTTGTATTGCACAAAACTTGGGATTTTCGGGGAATAAACCAATTGCAGCCTGCATCATTTACAAGTGCCTTCTGCAGTGGAGATCTTTTGAGGTTGAGAGAACCACTGTGTTTGACCGAATTATCCAGACTATTGGTCATGCTGTTGAGGTTTGAGCTATACAGTCCTGATATTGATGCAATCTTATCCTCACTTCAAACATTTAATGCTTCTTAGAACACTTGTCCTATGTTTACACAGAAAGCCCAGGATAACAATGATGTACTGGCTTATTGGTTGTCAAATGCTTCAACTCTTCTACTGCTTCTTCAACGCACACTGAAAGCTAGTAGTGCTACAGGAATGGCTCCTCAACGTCGTCGATCCTCAACTAGTCTTTTTGCAAGGATGACAGTGTCCCAGGTGAAAATTGTTTTTATTCAACCTCTTCTTTGGCACTTTTTCCAGGAATACTTTGGATCAATTCCTATAAGAATTTATATAAATTGATGTAGAGTTTCCGTGGAACTCCTCAAGGAGTCAATCTCTCGTTTGTAAACGGTGGGCTGTCTGGTGGAGCTGAAACTCTTCATCAAGTAGAAGCAAAGTACCCTGCCTTGCTTTTCAAGCAGCAGCTTACGGCTTATGTTGAGAAAATTTATGGATTGATTAGAGATAATTTGAAGAAAGAGATTTCTCCATTGCTTGGGCTGTGTATCCAGGTATCTCAACTTGTTATCTATAATAGGCATGTTTGTTTCAAACTTAGGTATCTAAAAACCAAATTGTTAAACATTTTATGATAACTTTGCCTTTTCTTGTTTTTGGGTATATTATTAGGCACCACGGACTTCAAGAGCAAGCTTAGTCAAAGGATCATCACGTTCAGTCGGGAATAGTGCAGCGCAGCAAGCTTTGATAGCTCATTGGCAGGGAATTGTGAAGAGCCTTGGGATTTTCCTCAAAACTTTAAAAGGGAACCATGTTAGTGACTTTGATGAATGCTTTTTTACATCAATTCATGTTATCTCTTCTTGTCTTCTGGTGTCTAGTCTTGTTTGGTAAAGCTTCTGATTAAAATTTGTAATTATGCTGTATTCTTATTGATTGTGAAGTAAGCTATAAGAATATATGTACAATTCCTACTTCTTTCATTTATTTACTTCCCGTCAATAGTTATTGCTTAACTTGCTGTGTCTTGACTTTTCCAGGTGCCCCCATTTTTAGTTCGTAAAGTTTTCACACAGATATTTTCATTCATCAATGTTCAACTATTTAACAGGTACAAATTGCTTGCTTGTATTTGCACATTATTGAGTTTTTAAAATAACCGACAAATTTTTTCATTTTTTTTAATATTGTTTCACAGCCTGCTATTAAGGCGGGAATGTTGTTCGTTTAGCAATGGTGAATATGTGAAAGCAGGGCTGGCTGAATTGGAGCATTGGTGCTACACTGCAACTGATGAGGTATTCCCAATTCAATGTTATTTCACTATATTTTTGGTATTCTGGTGAAGTCAGTGCTATAATAATAATTCGAAAAATAACAGTATGCAGGTTCATCTTGGGATGAGCTGAAGCATATCAGGCAGGCCATTGCATTTCTGGTAAAACCTTACCATCCTCCCTCCATATACTCCTCAAACCACTACAAATACAATTTAGGCAGTGTTAAGAGTCTCACATTGATAAAAGGTCATGAGTTAGATTAGCTAATTGATTGAATTCAGTTTTTAACCCATGTGCATTATAGTCCGGTTGACTGATATTGGTCCAATCTTAGATTATAACATAATATCAGATCCTATTCGGTCCACTTTGTGTTTACACGGTTGTCTACCCATGGTATTAGTGCCGTCCAGAGCTTTTGTTTCAAGGAGGGTCTAATCCAATTTCAAATGATCAACTGGTTAGATTCAAAATAGCCCAATTGTCCACTTGAGGGAAGGGTCAAGAATCCCACATCAATAAAAGAACTTGAGTTAGATTAGCTAATTGATTGAATTCAATTTTTTAGTTTGATTTTACTCAGGTGCATTATAGCCTAGTTGAACGAATTTGGCCCAATCTTAGATTATAATAGTCAGAATTATGGTTTGTTTTCAGGTTATGCATCAAAAGCACAAAAAATCTCTGCATGAAATTAGCCATGACCTCTGCCCAGTAAGCAAGCAATATTCTCTCTGTGTTCATCAAAGAATGAAGCATTCATTCCTCCACTAACTTTTTGTCCAATAGGTGCTTAGCATTCAGCAACTGTACCGGATCAGTACAATGTATTGGGATGACAAGTATGGGACACAAAGTGTGTCCTCTGATGTAAGATTTAAGGCATTTAGTTAGACATAGACTCACTCATATCTTGTACTATGGTGGATCATTTGTCTCAAACAACTGAGGTTTTCTATGCTATTCCTTCAGGTTATATCCAGCATGAGAGCACTGATGACCGAAGATTCAAATCACGCTGTCAACAACTCATTTCTCCTGGATGATGATTCAAGGTTAGCATTCTGATTTTACTTGGATCCATCGCACACTTTTTGTGAGGCAATCAATGGCTGATGCTTGTCTTTGATGCTGCAGTATACCATTCTCTGTAGATGATATGTCGAAATCAATGTTACAAATAGACATAGCAGATGTTGGACCTCCTCCTCCTCTCCGCGAAAACTCAGGCTTTAGCTTTTTGCTTCCAGGCACGGACTGAAACCGATGCCCTATAGGTGATTATTCTAATTTCTGCAATATATCTACCTCAAGGGAGAGATATTTGTTACATATGGATGCAAAATACATTTGTAGGCATGCATGCATGCATGCTGCTTCTATTTATACTCGTTGGTTGCTATGAAGAAAACCATTTTTGCCCCAACTATCTTGCTTTTATTCTTCTGGTTATTTTGCACAAATGCACAATATAAAACACATATACATTGGATATTAGTCTCATCCGACAAGATGCAGATACTAGTCCAATATGTCCCAAAAACAAAACGATTAAGAGATGAGCCAGAGTGTGTACCTGGATGTGTCTGGTTTATGACTACCGATTAATGATACATCAGAGTAACCGATTAATCAAGGAAAGTATAGAAAACAACATAGATAAACAGTCTTACACTGCCCTTAGCAGCAACCGAAATGTCTCATCAGAATTAGCAAATGAACGAAAAAACAGGTGTTTTTTGGGGCAGTTAAGGAGGGGTCTCGATTCCTCCTGCAATTGGATCTTCGAGGTTGCAAAAATCGGGAGTACTAAAAAGTGAATTAGATGGCTAGACGGAGAACTAAGTAGAGGTCACAAAATGGTCCACAGGGAGAGAATTAATAAAGCCAAGACTAAACCCTGTGTCCTCTGTTGAGCGGCTCCATAGTATGGCTGGATCATGACCTGATACCTGCAAGTTCCGGTAGTAGGATCTGACCTCGTTACTGCTCCAAGGCCATCGAACTTGCATGCCTCGTCTTCCTGATTGTTTATCTGGTAATAGCTGTTGAAAGCATAGGAGATATTTGCCCGAGCATCCATACCCCCACAGGAAGTCTGAAATCCGAGGCTCGTGCAGTCTGCAAGACTACACGCATAACTCACAGTGGAGGCAACCTGAGCATCATCAAGCCTCGCATTTGGTTTAAACACGCACCATTTTTTCTCCAGGTACTGTACTCCTCTTGCAGGAACTAAAGATCCAGTGCTTATGGTGCCAAGATTGAGCGAATATTTGGGTTGTCCATCGTAGTAAAAAATTCCCCAATGGCGTTCAAAATTCCCGGGAGCAATGCTCTTGGCATCCTCATCGATCAAACTGAAGAGATAGGCATTTATAGGTCCAGGCCTCATTGGGGTGCCTTTCCCACCTGCTATGTGACCCATGAATCCTTGGTTGAACTTCTCCGCATATTCCACATTCGCATTTCGGTCCCCATCAGTTGGCCAACCAATTTCTCCAACTATAATAGCCACGTTCCCGAACCCATTCTTTTGTAAAGCCCACACCAGCGTATCATGGTTTGCATCAAACATGTTGTTATAGGATGTCCCCCCATCGTTTAAAGGCGTTGCATCCCCATCAAAAAATGCATAATCAACTGGGAAGCTCGGATCGTTATAAAGGCTTATAAACGGATAGATGTTAACAGTAAATGGGCAGCCGTTATCATTCAAGAACTTCACCATTTGAAGAACATATTCATGGACATCGGCTTTAAAATCACCACCAGATGGTAACCCACTAGAAGTGTCATAAACATCAGCATTCAGAGGGACAGTAACCTTCACTTGACTGCCAACCCCGGCTTTTATGAGCGCAGAATGAACACTTTGGAGAGCCGGGAAAGTAGTTCTTAGATACGTTCCATTGTATGTTTTCAAGTAAGGTTCATTCCCAACTGCAACATACCTGAAAATTCAAACAAATTCTTACTGTCTATATGCTAATTGCTAACGTAATAGTTAAGTCGATGAGACGAACCTGATGTTGACATTGTTTTTGAGATGGGTGGTGACGTTTTCAGAAACCCATTTCTGAGCAGTCTTTGAGCTAGCCATGGACAAGAGCATGTCGTTCGGAATGCCAACCATGACCTCAATGCCAGAGTTGCTCAGAGCCCTCAAGGTGTTATAATCTGCATCAAAAAGCTTAACCTTTTGGATCCCATTCTCCCTCAACATCCTCACCACTATCTCGGGAGGAAGGCGGTGCGACGACTGTGTGCCCCAGTTGGCACCTATCCCACTCACCTCACGAATCAATGAACCAAAACCTGCAAGTAACAAAACCACCCCATACAACCCCAACCCCAATCTGCTTCTTGAACAACTATCTAGCTTATAACTAATGTTCATAGTTGGTAATGCAACAACTAACAAAGCCCCAATCTTTTTTTTTTTTTTTTTTTTGCAATCAATTGAATCTCAACTCAAGAAAACACCATCTCCAGACAACCCAAGAACAGAGAAGCAATCAAAAGCTGAATCTTGATAATAAACAAACTTAGGCTTTAATTTCTTTTCACTTGTAGGTAGGGTTTGAACTTTGAAAGCCACATCAATGAACCAACATTAAACTGCAGCAAATCAACTTATGAAGAAGCCAAGGAAGAAACTGAGATGGTAATATAAAATAAAATGAGTATAGTAATGATAATAATAAATGAACAAGTAAATCTGGTAGCTAGGACATAATAAAAACAAATATAATAAAACAAAATATCTCAATGAAAAAGACTATTAGGACAAGATATCTAAAAATAACTTAGAAATTTCTCCTCTTGGGAAGAAAAGTACTAGGAAAAAAAAAGCTTCTTTTTTTTTTTTTAGTAATTTTTAGGTTGTTATTTGAGGAGTAGAGAGAAAGAGATAGAGGGAGAATAAGCAAGGGTGTAAAGACAGCCGCTACCAGAGCAAGAAGACCAACCCACTCAATAATGCATACTGAACAAAATATCATATATACAAAGAGAAAAAAACCAGAAAGGGCAAACTTTTAGAGAGAGAAAAAGAACACTTTTCTTTGGGGGGTATAAGAAAGAGAACACCTTGTCTATGCAAAAGTGAAACTGGGAGAGAGAGAGAGAGAGAGTTATGTATGCAAAAGTGAAAAGTGGTACTTGGAGTTACCGCAAAGGAGCTGTAGGGGTTGGAGAGAGAGAGAGAGAGAATCAGCAATGAGCATCACAATGTACACATATGCAAACGCAGTAGATTCGTTTGGCATTGCTGTAATCCTGTTTAGGTGTCTGGTTGTCTTCTTAGTAGCAACAATGCAACTCTCCAGTTACAGCCTGTAAGAAAATGGGGTAAAGAAAAAAAGGAAATATGCACTTCCTAAATCCCATATTACTACATTAGTATTTGATTCTCAAATTTATTTCTACACTCAAATAGTCAAATTCTTGATGTGAGCATTTTTTTTTTATAGGATTTACGCAATGAAAATATCTTTTCATTAATTGTTAGTGGTCACGTAAAACGGTAAAAAGTAATAAAGTACAAAATGGAGGCGTGATAGTAGAACTCATTTATTTACTAGTTGTTAGTCAAATCAATTTTATTTTTTATTTTTACATTTTTTTAGTATTTTTAAATCTTGTATTTTGTATTTAATAGTACTAGTATTTTCACTCGTGCGATGCACGTAATGAATTTGTTATAATATATTAAGAATATTTAGTTCAATATACAATTATTTAAACTATAACATCAAATATTATATAGTGCAATTGAATATATGGTTTGGATCGTTTATGTTTGTTGATGTTACGCTTGCTTGAATTTGAGCAAATAATTGCTCAAATTAATAGCTAATTTGTAGATGTACGCATGCGGTGATGTAACTTTAGAGATTTTATATATCATTGTTTAGGATTTTTATAAATTGGGCAAATGTGCTCGTTATCTAGCAAGTTAGTTATAGTAATCAATTGTTATCCTAATTCATTTGTATAGAGGATATATTTTTGTCTAGATATATAGCAATTTTGTCATTTTGAAAATAATAATAATAATAATAATAATAATAATAATAATAATAATAATAATAATAATATCATCGATTTTATTTGCACATTATTGAAAACTTCTTTGTAAACGATAGTGGTAGTCGCAACACAATCTTATCCATCCTCGTCTAGAGCTAACACCTTTATGCCATCAGGATGGTGACTCGGGAGAAAGGCACGTACAATTGTCCGTGATTAAAGACTGATTTTTTTAGCAATAACAAAACATGAGTTAGTGTTTGACATTGACTTTTGTTGATAATCATGGCAATGCAAGCAACAACGGGAATTGTTTACGCTGGAACTTGATGGGCAATCTCGTATCAGAAGGAGTGAGAGACACTCGAGGGATAAAAACTTTGGTTCATTCATGTGTCCCGTTAACTATTCTTGCCCCGTTCGTTCATCACAGAGTCGTAAACATTCTTTTGCTTGTCGGTCAACTGTGTTACCAATGTTTCATGCTCTGTCTTCAACGATTCCTTGTCATACGCCAACTCTTCGGTTATCAACATGTTTTCATTCAAACCCATGCTAGTTTCGCTGGAATTGGCATTTCTGGAAAGTCCTTCAGGCTCTTCCCCCACAAAGATAACAACTTCTCCAACTCCACCAGAACAAACTGTTTTTTTTTTTTATATGAATCCGATAACATCAACTCTTAAAAGTGGAAAAAAAAACAAATTAGATTATTTATAAATAATGAAAAGCAAATAACAAAGTCGAATAAATAGATTGGAGTAAACTAAATATCATTGATTCGGTCAAAGTACCTACGAGGTCCCTGTACTATAACATTTTGTTCAATTTAGTCCTTATACCTTTATTTTGTTCAATTTAGTCCCTGTACTTTAAAAAATGGTGTAATTAAGGATAATAGTTAATGGTGTTAATATTACAGCTAACTTAGGTTACGTGGCGCTGACGATATTTATATTCTTACTCATATATTTCTTTATAAATATTTAAAATTGGTTATTTTTACCACCAATATATTAAATTAGTATGTCTAAAATAAATAATTAAAACCATGTTTTTAATGAGATTTGGACAATTGTCCTTAGTTTCACCACTTTTTAAAGTAGAGGGACTAAATTGAACAGAATAAAGGTACAAGGACTAAATTGAACAAAACACTATAGTACAAGGACTTTATAGGTACTTTGACCCATTGATTCAATATTGAGTAGTTATAGAAAAAATAGGAATAAGAATTTTAATATTGTTATATTTTTAATATTAAATAGATTGCACAATATAATATTTGTTGTTATAATTTATATAATTGTATATCGATTCAAATATTATTAAAATTATAGTATTTTCACACGTGCGTCGCACGAAATTGAGTTGTTATAATATTTTAAGAATATTATATTATGCAATTGATGAAAATGGATTGGATCGATTATATTTTTTGAATTATCCTTGCTTGAATTCAAGCAAATAATTGCCCAATTACCCATGCGATGCACATATAAAATTTGTTATTATATATTAGATAATAAAATTACAGATGAAATTATAAAAAATTCTAATATTTGAAAATGTACATTTATTTGATTATAAGATTAGTGCAAAAGTATCACTCAATTAATTGAATAATATATGACTCATTTGTCTGTCATCATCTTTTAAAAATCGATATCTAATATAATTTATGTAATTATATTATTATTACTAAAATAAATAAGAGAAAAAAAGATAAATAATTTAATTGTAATTATTATAAAAATAAATCCAACGATCCATGTTTAGCTTAATTACCATAATAATTATTAGTCGATTAGTAATATCATATTCATTTTCAGCCAATTATTCTTTTATATTTTTAGATAATTAATCAATTAGAATATCAAATGTAGTGATATTTTTACCTAATTTTCGTTCCATTTTTAATTGATGATGTAAAATATTATTATTGAAATATTTCCTTTCCATTTTTAATTTACCTTTACTTTTGTTTAAAATATGCTTTTACTATTGATGATGTAGAATATTATTATTGAAATATTTTCGTCTAATTTTTAATTTCCGTTCCATTTTTAATTAAAATGCAATGATATGATCATTTCTTTTTTCATTTTAGTTAATTATGGATCATTTTTTATTTGCAGTCAATTATTAATATTCATTCTTTTATATTTTCAATCAATTAGTAATATCATATTCATTTTCATCCAATTATTCTTTTTTATTTTTAGTCAATTAGTCAATTAGAATATAAGATGTAGTGATGTTTTTACCTAATTTCTGGTCCATTTTTAATTGGTTGTGTATAATATTATTATTGAAATATTTTCTGTTCCATTTTTAATTTTCGTTCAATTTTTAATTTACCTTTACTATTGTTTAAAACAAGCCTTTACTATTGATGATGTATAATATTATTATTGAAATATTTCCTTTCCATTTTTAATTTACCTTTACTTGATGATGTAGAACATTTTTTTTTAATTATTTTTTATTTTTTATTTTTTATTTTTTTATTTTTTATTTTTTATTATTATTATTATTTTTAAAAGAACTGTGCATTTATTCCATATAGCAAAGCAAAGCGTCTACAAGTATACGCCATAGCCCCAAAAGTGAGCTATGGCTCAAACGAGTGTATGGCCATTTTAGCCGAATGTATATGTACAAGGGGCGACCCAAAAGTGGTTACCCCCAAACAACAAGCCAAGAGCCCCCAGCTCCTAAGTACTAAATCATCTAGTGAAAAGGCCGAAGCTCACACTCGAAGGGATTGCTAGGTAATTTCTAGTCTTAAAGCCTCATTCTCACCAATCCTCCTCTCTCAATAGTCATCAATAGGCTCCCCGTCCCACACAAGTGATGGGAACGATACCTAAGCTCAAAAAAGATCCAACTACCCTTTGCTAACCTCAAGTCAAAGTCCCATCCCCACCGGCACGGCGCACCGTATTTTATCCCGGGGGGACTTTAAGGGACCCGACTTGAGCGATAGCACTCACCTCATCCACCCTCGTGCCCAAGACCAACCCCCCTCGGCATAGCGTACTATGGTTTGTCCGGGGGGGGGGGGGAGGGGGGGCTTTTAAGGTCCTGATAGGAGCAATGGCTCCCTCCCCTACCACCCTTAGGCCAAAGGTTTGCTCCCTCGGCACGGCGTACCGTGTTTTAGCCCCGGGGAGCCTTTATGACCCCGACCTAAGCAATGGTTTCCTCCCACTCTCCCTTTTCCCTTTTCCCCTATTCTTCTTCTTCTTTCTTTTCCTTCTCTTTTCTTATCTTTTTCATCTTTTTTCCTTCTCCTTATCTCCCCCTTTCTCCATTTTCTTTTATTTTTCTCTCTTTTTATTTCTTTTTCCATATGCTATGGATCCATTCAAGCTCAAGACATTCCCAACTCCAGGTGTGTGCTATACTTGGAGCCTACCAAGACTCCACCATTCAAATCTCATACCAAAATGAATCCTAAGACTTAGCTACTACCTAGAATCCCTTCTAGGAGAGCCTTTTGCCTTCCAATTATTTACAAATCTAGAGCTGGGAGCCCTTATACTAGCTGCAAGAATAGGGTCTTCATCTTCTAAGCTCCTCCAACCTGCAAAACAGCAAATGGCTTCATTTCTACCATTGTAGATCCACCAAACAAACATCTGCACAGCATTTCTGCTACCAGTACCCACAACATGCTATAGCCCTCAGAGCTACACCAGCTTGTAGCTCATCATTGGGCCAAGGGGGCTGATCTCAGCTATCTAGCTTCATAGACCACCCCCCACAACTACACAGAGCTAGCAGGACCAGCTTCAGCTAGATGGCTTCATTAGATGGTCCGCTAGATCTGCAAGGCCCCTCCAGACTGCCCATTCAAGCACTTCCTTCATTGGGGTTACACTGCAGGTCAGCTTACTAAGCCTCCTCCCTGCAGTGTGAATCATATCTACCATATTATGGCACCAAACATCCCAGGGCAGAAATGGCTTCAGCTCACCAGCCTCATTAACCACTTCCCCCTGATCTGCTAGATGCCCTAGCTGTTACCCTCATAAGTTACC